AGAATGTCCGTGTTTCCTAAGTACTTTGAAAAACGATCGTGATGCCCAGTACTACAGGCATTGCGTCGTTCAGTGCCACTTAACACTTGACGCGTTAATCCGTTTGGCAGCTTGGATTGATTCAATGATGAAACGAGACCTCAGGGCTACGTTCTCGTTGTTGTTCTCGTTGCACCAATGCTTTTGACGGTGATGAGGACAGATTTTGCTGCAAATTTCGGCAGGGTATCTCACAGGAACAAACCATATTACGAGGATTCAACACCTCATTTCTGTATGGATCTATTTCCGATGACTATTACTAGGCCAGCTGAATCAAATCGAAAACGGTCTTGGAGATCTTTTGTTCGGGCGCATCATTCGGCTTCCAAATCTCCGTAAATCTCGATCTATTTCGGTTTGTGTAAAAGGCTTGGTAGCATGTGTGGGAACTAAAATACTCAACTTCTGACAATGCTCGTCTCCGGACCCCTTCATTGACCAACCTCGTAACCTAATCACTTAGCCTTACGATGTTTAGTGTCGGAAATTAAATGTTGCCCACTGAGCAAACTACCGAGTTCAGCCAAGCCTTTCCAATCAAAGTCTCTTCATTTATCCTTGTTGGCTGGCGCAGCCTAGCACAAGCCAACTTTTGTATCGCACCTTGTGCACCCACCCTGTTAAGCTGATTAGTCAGCAGTGTCTGTACACTACATATTCCTCGGATTCGCCGAAGAACTATCTTGTAACCTTCGGCTTCATGACACAGAGGACAATACGCCTTCGCTGTATCCGTTCTCTTTACTCTGATGTGTTAGTCCAAGCAGCCGTGAGAAACACAACCACATTATTCACATTGGTGGCAATAGCCATTCCCGTATCTGAGATACGCGATCCTGGTATAGAAATTAAGCCGGCGACTCCACATGCTAGTACCAATGAACATCAGACGAGCGTCTGGCTACTGAATCTTCCAAACGTCTTTTACCGTATCGTTATACTGCATGTAGTGCTTCAGCGTCCCCACCCGTACAGCCTACTAACTAGCAGGCTCTTTTGCTCTTGACTAAAAGCTGGATTTGAGTTTCTAAACAGGATCATTCTTCGACGGATGGGCTTGAAAGTAGATTTTCAAAGCACCCCTCATGATACCTATTTTAACACTTGTATTCTCAAAAGGGTCCACTATTCGGAAGCTGATTCTGTTGAAAATAAACTGGTTTATTCCAGTACGAGGTGCGTTGACGCAGGCTTTAATGATGGCACAAAATCAAGATGAGTTCGGGTGGTTATCTGCGTGGTGTTATCACTGTCAACAGAAACACTCAAAGGCTGCTTTGCGTAATACTGGGAAAGGTGCCGATCCACAGGTACCAGATCTACAATATCGTGTGACATTGTGGTGTCCTCAAAGAGACGAAACCGGAAACCAAACTGGTTCGGGGTGTCAGTTGTTCACGCACTTGGTAGAACCAGAGCAGCCTCTGGACCAAAACTGTCTCGGGAAACCGCAAGCGCTCTTAATTATGGTATACTCCCAAAAGACTGTTAGTGGCATACCTAGGCCAGAGTCGAATTTGAGAAAACACCCCTGAATGATTTACAGCAAAACACCATAGTTTATTTTTAAAATCGATTTAATCGCTACCACATTGCAGACTTGCACATCACGCACAGTGTGTGTCATAGTGGGTCAGTTGTGAAGACCAGTGCCATGAACCCTGTGTCAGACGTACACACAAAGTTCACAATAGCAAGCAAACACAAGTCACTGACTGTGACCTCAAGAAGTCCAAGTCCAATAATAGACTTAGCGGACTGAGGAAAGCAGATCCTTCGATAAGAAATGGTCATCGGTTTGCAGACCAAAAGGTCGGCATCTACATCGATTGCATGCAGACCTGATCGGGGAACAAGCGTCAGCACCATACTTCTGCTTCTTCTCATTCCACACAATCTCTTCGCGACACTCCGAGACCATGCTTACATCTACCACAGTTTCGCGGCGCCGCCGAACAGTGAATGGGTCAGGCTTGGTGGAGGATGTTGAAGTATTAGCTCTCAACCCGTCGAAGACGGTGCATTCCAGCAGACGAAAGCATTTTTCAAGATCCTTTGCAACCCGGTTATGATGAGCACACCTGGCGTCATGCGTGATCCAGCAAGACTGAAAAGTATGCACCCAACTATCCGGCTGGCCACACTATCGCGACATAAGCTCGTCTGTCCACATGACCATGCCGGGCGCTTCTAACTCTCGTCCTGAGCAGGTTGCACCGGAGCTGGACACCACGGATAAATATACGAGGACACTTTCGTTATGAAATTACCATCCATCGGTTTCGAGAGGGGGAGCGACGAACTCCGTAATCTGCGACCGTCAACGCCGATGTGCAGACTACCACCCCAAGCAGCCACCAGCTCGTCTTTGGTGTTTACCCACGCTGCTTCAAACTCATTTCCCCTTGAAAGTAAAGCGGACACCCAAATGTGTCACATTCTGTCGTGTACCCGGAGGAGTGACCAGTTCATCCGCGAAACAAAATGGTTCGACCGAGATTGCTGTTGCACGATGTTTATTGCCCACCTCCCAAATCACAATCAATTTTGTCTTTTGGGCGTTTATCTTTATACCATCTCTTCCCAAATCGACCGCAGGAGCTTCAGGCCTCTCCTCAAAGCGAGCATGACTTTTTGTGCGCACGACTCAGTCGTCAGCAAAGGTGAATCATCCACTAGAGTGTCATGGAACTGGTATACCGGTTGTGACATGAGCAATCCAAGAACATCATCCATCGCCATGATAAAAAATAATGAAGAGAGTGGATACCCTTTCCTCACACCTCTGTGGCAGTGAACCTCGAAACTGGAGAAAACTGCCATAGCATTCTCATAGGACTGTGCGATGTATCGAATTAGAGGTGACGGAGCTCCAAACGCCTCGACAAGCTGAGGTTAGAAGCAGTCGCTGAAGAGTGACGAAGCAGGGCATGCAACAGCGATGTGGCTTCCAAACAGCCGTCTCGATGCAGAAATGCAATCTGGAGTGAGGGCAGTTGCGATCTACGACTACGGCGATCAGCAGGCACCTTATGGAAGCAATGAACAAGAATGGATGACACGGAGATCGGCCTCAATTGATCTGGTGAAGTCGGATGTGGGACCTTGGGAACTAGGGTAATACGGGCTCGACACAGATGTGGGAGACAACCCCCAGACGATAACGGTAGGTTGAAATACCCAGCAAGCACCTTAGCACTGAACCGGCGGAGCATTCTGGGTGTGAGATTGTCCAGGCTTGGGGACGAATTGCCCATTTAACGGACCATAGAGCCAACTTCCTCTCCTGTAATTGGCTCGATAAAGCTTTAGTCGGATGGTACCACTATGCGACTTGGTTGGCTATCCGCGTGTTTTGGGGCTGAGAGCACTTGTTTCCGATACTGCTCGGCGTCCATAGGTAGCCGCAGGTACCTTTGTATAATTCCTTCAATGACCCGTCGAGCACAGTAGACACTGCATCTTTCCGTTTTTTGTGGTATAGGGTCTGGATGGCGGAGTAGTTGGATCGGCGGATCTGCTTTCGGTTGACCGAGTACCAATGGGCTAACTGACGGTGGCGTCGAGTAACAGTTTTCCAGGTCTGTCGAAATATCCTGGCCGCGTGGAGGTCCAGAAGCGACAGGACTTGTTCCGGTGTCATGATGCCAGACTGCAACCCTCGGGCAAATGCCAGAAGGTCAACACTAGCAAGCGAACGGTCAGCGTGGGATTCCAAGAGTGACACGGCGCAATCCACAGTTTGTTTAAACCAGACGCTGTAGTCATCGGCTTCTGATGAGAAAGCCGTCGTTTGACCGATAGTTTGGTCAGGTCCACTAGATGATGACTCGTCCCGTTGTGCTTGCCAGTTAACCACCCGCAACCTGGTTTTAATGCTGATAGCCGATCGACCAGGAAAATACCGCTCCAGTCTCGTGAACAGCGTGGTTTGCGTGCCACGAGGTGGATATAAATTGTTAGCCAGGCGCAAGAGCGACTGTGACTCTTGTTGGGACCAGCGGGTACCGAAATACTTCACACGGCCAAGCTTAAGCATTATGCTCGGTGGGGTGTGCGTGCCGGTGATGTTGACTTAGGCCAATCTCCGTCGGAAAAAGGCGGGAACAACCAGCGCAGGGGGGAAACCATGTTCGTATCGACACTTGCATTATTAAGTACTCGGTGGTGGCCTTTCGATTCGAAACACCGGCTACATTCGTCCCAAGTGAGCCTCACGCGTCTCTCTTGTCTACTTGTTGGAACTGGTGCGGAGGTGCCACATGATTCGTAGTGTACAATGTCGAAAGTAACCATCGCATTGAAAGCAAACAGGATAGTTATCCTTGTCTGGAGTTGCTGAACTATTAGCTCATCCAGACTGACCTCCAAGCTACCCAGTGGGCACCACGAGGAGGTGGTTCAGCTAGCCGACTCTTTTCAATCTGACAATGGTTCTCGTATGACTTCGACAAGACAGGCTTAGAACGTTTTTTATGTCAGAAATAGGTCCGAGGCGACGGCCGGATCTGCTGAGTATTTTATTCAGAAGAAATGCTTAACAACGGACTGCACAGCTCGTTACAGACATATGTGGGCTTCATTGCCTTAAAATTCCGAGCAAATGCTGCTACACCAGTTTCCTGACGGACTGTTAGCCGGATTATGTAGGGTTCGGTACGTAAACCATCTCTGTTTCTAGTATGCTGATGAAGGTTCTCGTTCGCTCCAAATGTCTGTTTGCAAATGACAAGAAACCATTCGACAACCTCACTGATTGGTACTTCAGGAGGACTATCACTTTCTTACGCCACGAATAACACAAGAAAATATTAAAAAGTTGGACGAATCATCATATCTCGTATAAAGAATGACATGAAGCTCTCAGTGAATCGTTAGACACAAGTAGGAAAGTTTAAGGAGGTACAGGCCTTGGCCTCTGACTTCAAGCCACGCAAACGACTTGTAAGAATAGGTAAATGTGGTCATTGGACTTGGACGAGGTTTATGGACACAAGTTTAAGGTTTGTTAATGGTGTTTGTTAGATCGCAGTTCATGTAACGTAAGTAGGTTTAGCTGCGGTTCATAGAATAAGGCTAAACTGAATCCGACTAGTCAGTCTTATATCTGCACCACGTCAGGCTTCCCTCGCATTCATGCTTTTGGCTGTTTGGGAACTTCTTAGACCCACCATTTCCGGGAATAATTGAGAGCGTTTATGATCCAGGTCAAAATATTTGGTGTTGCTGGCTGGCGAAGCGGAGACCGGAAGGAGCATGACGGCTGCGACACAATCAGCCGGAGGTACTCAGTAGATCGAACGTGAGTTCAAAACAGCAAGATCTTGGTTGGAAGCTTGATATATTCTCATTTGCACCGTACCACCTAAAAAGGGGGTTTATCAGCTGTTTGCTGACGCAAATGTCTTCTGTTCTCAGTCGAGTCAAGTGAAAGCCTTCGTCCGAACCATCGACAGTCACCTGGAACCTTCAGAACCTCGGGCACAGATGGATGCGCTGGTGGACGAGTTGATGTTCCCAGACTACAACGAGAATCCCGGTGATGGATATCAGTATTTCTATGATCACTTCCGAAGGTACGTTAAACTTTTAATTCATGATTCCAACACGTAATCAGCAGAGGTTATCACTTAAAGAACACACATTCCTTGGGCTTGGCTAGGAGTANCTGGAGCAACTGTAGAGCTATCACGACCATATGTTGGTTTGGTGGACACTCCACAAGGCTGATCTGAATTCAGCATTGCATAGCTTTGCCGTATCATTAGGGTTAAGTTAAGGTCCCAGGCAGTCGCAGAATAGATCTGTTCAATCTGAGGACTTCCTTTCTTGCGCGATTCGATCGCGTCGAAATGAGAGGTTTCATTGAAGATGGTATCGTGGAAGTATGTTAACAATAGCTTGATAAACGATAACACATAGGTTGCCATAACTTTTCTGAGGGTTTGTCCGTGCTCCCCAGTTAGCTACAGGACGCTGCATACCTCACCTTGTTTACGGTCAAAGAAGTTGTAACTCATTAGACCGATGTCATCACTCTTGCTCCAGGCATACACAGTAGCCGAGATTATTTTTGTGACTGAAGCGGGTAAGAGTAGCGTGACCATCATCCGGCTGGACGCACCAGCTGAATAATATGACTGGGGAAAACCCAAATGCTAGTATTTCGTCTTTTGTTCTAGGTGCCTTTGGCCAATTACTCAAAAATACCGCCAGGTCACGTGCAGCTTCGAATTTCAGAAGCATTCATTTTCCAGTCCAATCAATCGCGGTTCGCTTGTTTACATGTAAAAATACCTTTAGCTGAATGAATCTGTGAAATTAATTGGCCGGAGGTGGGATACGGTGAGCAAACATCTTTGTTCATTTCTGTTTCTTATATAAGAACAGTGTTAACTGCGAGCAGGAAAATCACCCTTTCGTCATCCATAGAGGACCGTTCAAGTAGAGCATAAGGTTGACGGAAACTCGGGGACTGTGCCTACCTGATGGGCCCCAAGTAAAGCGAAACCGGTCGTGAGCTGTCGAAGAGTTTTCAGCAACCTTGTGAGTAGTTTCGTTTATGAAAACGAAGATATTTTCTTTCTTCCTAGTGAATAACCTTCAAAATGAATTGGAAGTGTACTTTTGCATGACGCACGCAACTGAACAAAAGATCCAACTGAAATTCAGCCGAGTGTCTAGTTTGTGCCGTCTTACTTTACCAATGAGTAAGCAGGTTTACTTATATTTAGTGTGCTAATCAAGAACAAATATATGATGGGAATTTGGGGACCGGGCCTATTCGCTGGGCTGAAAAACCTAGATTCTAAGTAGTTCCATCAACCTAATGGGCATAAAGGAATCAACTTTTTATCTCGGCCAGTACCTATGTGATAAGCATTACCTGAAGACAAGTTGAATGCAATTACGAGTCTGGAAACGAGACACACTAGCTTTAACCGTTGATTTTTTGTGACTGTTTTGCTACCTTGACAGTTATGCTTCAATACCTTAGAACCACAAATTTTAGTTAACTTTACTTAAAGTCCTGAGGTGTGAAGAAAACGATGGGTGTGAGAAGTGCTAGCCTAAGGTCTCTACACCTCCAAACACACAATCAAACAAGTTAAAAAGAAACTGATATCACGATGGCCACTGCCCTTGATTAGCTACAATTTCTTGAAGTGCCTTCAGCCAAGCTCCAGATAAGATTCAGGGGAAACCACATCGGAAGGCGGGCAGCACGAATTACCTCAACTTTGCTGCCACATCGGGCATTTATAATTACTGTAATTGACCGGTGCGCCTGATTATTCAAACTCAGCCAAATCACTGTTTCCTCTTAATGTCAGCCAGCTGGTTTTGAGAACTATGCAAGCAACTGGGTCTAAAAGTACAAAATCCAAGGGGAGTTAGATCCAATTAACCATAATCACCCCCAACTCCAAACCATTTGTCCCGGCGCCCTTTGGCGAACACAGATGAACTAAATCTGTGGACGACCTCAAGAGGAATTTTCCATTAAGATATCCTATACCAATCATATCCTACCATAGCCCAATACACAAATACCCGAACAGCCGGGCCAAACAGCATGCACCAGGTCTTGATGTTTCGAAGAGCAGCAAGACACCAACTGTGGATGATATTGAAGCATATTGCCAGTCCATGTATAATGTCGAAATCCAACAGAAGTGAGGTTGAAAGTTTAGGCTGTTGACTCAAAGACTTTAGAGTAGCAGTTCTCAAATTCAACCCTGTCATGTGGTGCATTTTTAAGGTGTGTCGCTGAGTATTGTAGACTGGCCATACCAATGTGTCATACAAATGAGCTAGGAGACGAGTGACACTAGGTGGGAATTCTAGTGTCATTGGCTTCGTAGCCAAGTGCTACAACATTGTGAGTAATTGTTCCGTGTGACCTGAGACTTTTTAGTGTTTGCTTGAACGTGAGCTTATATATGAGAGTTATCAACTCTGCGCTTTGCGAATATTCATTCTGTTCTCAGTGGTCCGATGTCAATTGCTTCCTATTGATCACAAAGACATACAAACGGGAAAG